AAACTGAAAGAGGCTGGGGTGCAGCTCAGTGCAAAGCCCATAGATTCAATCCTCAGTACCAAAAATAAATAAATAAAATAATAATAATAATAATAATAATAATGACAATAAGGAGAGTTCTAATGCCGTATTTTCAGAATTTTAAAATGGAAAAAAAATTCAAAGTATTATTTACTTCCTGATAAGCATACTTAAGTTGTCTGCATGTTTTAAAAGGTCTTAAGATGCTGCAAAAGAAATGCTCCTTGTCCTGTTCCACTACATAATTTAAAGCGCTCTAAAATAACCATATTACAGAGAACTCATTTAGAGTAGTCCCACCTTATCCAATTTTATTTTCCTAGGTTTCAGTTATTCAAAAGGTCAAGGATGAACACAGAACAATAAGACATTCTGAGAGATTACTAAGAGAAACCACATTCATGGGGCCGGGGATTTAGCTCAATGGTTCTGTGGCCTGCCTTGCAAGCGCAAGGACCTGAGTTCAATCCCCGGCACCAAAAAAAAAAGAGAGAGAGAAAGAGAAATCACATTCACATTACTGTACCTTATTATTGGTTATTGATCTCTTATATGCCTAATTTATAAACTAAATCTCACCATAGATATGTATGCATAGGAAAACACAGGGTTTAATACTATCTGAGGTTTCAGGCATCCACTGGGGGTCTTGGAAGGGATCCCCCCCACAACTAAGGGGAGACTACTGCGTTCTTTACTAAGAGCCGAAGCTATCTACAGCACACACTTGTAGTATGCCACATATAATTTCCTATCAATGAAAAAAAGTTGCTCGAATGAAGGCAAAAACAAATATACACAAAATATATAAAAAAGTGGTAAGAATCGTGAATAGTAAAATGGAAATTTTGAATTCTCAATGGCTGTAAGATCTCTTGAGAATGAAAAGTACTGTGGCTTATGTTTCAAAACTATATTGTATTTTTAATAGAAGACTGAAAAGGAGCTGTTATAAAGCAGCTCATTCTTGTTTCTCTGTATCTTTGTTTTAAACTTACACACAGGATATACAACTGTGGAAGTCACCTCAAACTTTTAAACATTTTGCATTTATGTTAATAAACTCAACCTAAAATCTAACTTAGAATCTTAGCAAGAGTCTACTAAGTTGTTTAAAAAACAGCTTCATAATTATAATTTTTTTCTAGCTTAAATAATTAAAAAGGTAAAATTTACTATGACTTTTTGATTTTAGATTTTAATTTCTAATTTTTATTAGTACATATCTGCAGTACATAATGATTATACTCACTGGGGGGAACTGGTCTAAACACATAACACCCACATTTCAAGGGTTTTTTTTTTTTTTTCTTTTTTTTGGTGGGGTGGCAAGATTTCAATTATGTAGTTCAAGCTGGCCTATGTAGCCCAGGCTGGCCTCAAATTTCCGGCAATCCTCTTCAGCCTGTTCAGTGCTGAGATTACAGGTATGTGCTACCACACCTGGCTAACCTATGACTTTCTTCAATTACTTTTATGGATGGATTCGCTTAGTAATCAAAAGCTTTCATTTCCTTCTTATATATTAAATAAAGGAAACAATAGAGCCGGGGATTTTGCTCAGTGGTTCTGCCTCCTGCCTCTCAAGCATAAGGTCCCGAGTTTGATCCCCGGTACCATAAATAAATATACACAACAAACCAACACATTAAAGTATGTGCTACACTGTTACTGACTGAATTGCATCCCACAAAGAAATTCATCTGCTGAACCCATAACCCCTCCCCACACCTTGGGATGGTTAATTGAAGATGAGTCCCTTTTTAAAGAGTTATTAGGTTTACATGCAGTCATGAAGTAAGATCCTCATAATGGGACTAATAACTTCAGAGACACAAGAGACAGCTTGTCCCATGCTTTTGCCATATGAGGAAACCCAGAAAACAGCCATCTGTAAGCCAGGAGATCTCTCTCATCATTATCTTGGACTTCCAGTCTCCAAAACTGTGAGAAAATAAATTTCTATTGATTCGGCCACCAAGTCTACAGTATTTTGCTATGGCAGTCTATGAGCAAACCAAGATACAGCTGATTTTATAGAAAAGTATATATATGTACATGTACATGTGTTTCATAGCAAAATTAACATGATCTTTCCAAATAAATACCGTCGTGTTTTGTTAAAGTTTTAGGGGTTCCTACAAGTTTTTGCTCTTTCTTTAAACAAGTTATTAAAAACAGATTTTTCCTGAAAGATCTCTTTATGCCAAGTAAAATAAGGACATGATTTGGAATTACTTGTGCCCTAACGAGACTCGAATGCATACCCTGTAAACTTTGTATTTCTGAACAATTAATTGGAAGAAGAGGAAATGA